TTTTTTTTTTTTTTTTTTTTTTTTTGGTTGAGACTGGGTCTCGCTCTTGCTCAGGCTGGTCTCAAACTCCTGAGCTCAAGCGATTCTCCTATGGCCTCCCAGAGTGCTAGGATTACAGGTGTGAGCCCCCTCTCCAGGCCAGCACAAGTTTTCTTGACAAAGACTCAATGCCCTATTTGCAGTTTATGTGGTAAACACTTAAGACAATTGTCCTTAACCTTTTGAGTCTCAGACTCCTTTGAAAAGGTAATGAAGCCTAGATACTGCTTAAAATCATGCACATACCAATGTACATGCAAACTTTGATGTAATTTCAGAAGTTCATGAACTCTAAAAACCTCTGAAGTTAAACTTAATCTAAAAGTTCACAAAGAAATAAAAGAGGATATTGACTGGGTGGAGGGGGATGAAGAACATTCTCATAAAGTGAGTAAATGGATGAATGCAGGAAATGAGGAACATGATAGTTCTCCTTGTCTCTGACTGCGCAACAAGTGCTAACTCAAGAAGTTGCATCATACACACACAAGATTTAAATAGTGTGGGTGATGCCCACATAGTGAGTGCATGCTTTGTGATCATGAGGCAGGGAGACCTCATCCGCTATTTCCTCAGTCTAATTTAGTTCCCCTGTACCTCCTCTTAAATGAGATTCTGATATTTAAAGGTACATGTTTTTCCCTAGAACATGGACTCTAAATGCAAGCTCATTTCCTCTAGGTGATCTCTAGCAAAGAAACAGTTATCTGCTCTGTTGTAGTGGGAGACTGGCTGTCCCAGGCTCACCCAGTCATTCTACCTAGAATTTTCCCCAGGAATTTTTAAGGATACTTTTGATCTATACTTGATTTGGGTCCTACTCAAAGACTTCAGAACCTCACTGCTACTGCCTTGTTGCTTTCCATGCAGAGCACCACGTTGTTGGAAGGACAGGCTGAACCAAAGGGAATTTCAGAAAGAGTGACCAGGATGGTAGGCAGAGGGTAGCAGTGAGTGAAGAAACCAGACTAGGGATGTGCGACCTGGAGAAGACCCCAGGAGACCAGCCTGGTTCTCCGCAAATCTCAGAAGGCTCAGCTCAGCGTCAGGATGTTAAACAAGAGGCTCTCTAAAGTCCAGATTAGGGAATCAACCTTCAACTGCAATAATCACTTATAAAGATATAAGAGGAGGCCGGGCGCAGTGGCTCACGCCTATAATCCTAGCTCTCTGGGAGGCTGAGGCAGGCGGATTGTTTGAGCTCAGGAGTTCGAAACCAGCCTGAGCAAGAGCGAGACCCCGTCTCTACTAAAAATAGAAAGAAATTAATTGGACAACTAAAAATATATAGAAAAAAAAAGATATAAGAGGACACAAACCTTAGAGGAAAAGGTTGAACTCAATGACTTACAAGATTCTTCATTTAGTAAATGTTTATTGGTAAGCCAACTGTGTACCAGGTACTAGCAGTACATGCAAGAATAAGAATAAACCTAGAGTTGCTTTCACTGTCTACTGGAGAAGACATGAATAACTAAAATGTAGTGTAAAGTTGCTAAAGGAGTGCTTGGGATCACAGAGGATGGAGCCACCAACTTGTCCTCAGGCTGTGAAGAAGAGCTGAGGTTTAAATTGGAAATGTTCAGCAGTGTCCAGCAGAGGAGGGTGTAGGACGTTTCCGGCAGGGGAGCAGCTGGAATTCTGAGAGCACACGATCAAAAGAGCTTTGGCATCAGACCCTAGCTTAGCTACTCTCTGGCAATGGAACTTCAGAGGGCTGTTCTCACGCCCCTGAGCCACCAACCTCTTGTCTGCTAATGCATACAGTCACACCCAGCTTTGAGATTTGGGAGAATCTGGGATAATGTGTGAAGTATCTGGATGTTTGATCATTTGTGGTTAGAAGTAATTTTTATTACTTTGTTAATTGATACTGGCAGAAACCCCCAGGAGAGAAATGGGTAATTGCTAATTTGGTCAGCTTATTTCAGGGAAGGGGATGGGGAGCCTGAGTGTTTCTCTTTCCTAGCACTAGACAGAAGGTAGTCTACTTTCCTTCTCTTTTTTATGGGCCTCCCTAAACGGGATGCTTTGTTATCTGAGTAAGTGATCTCACCAAACTTCCCTTTCTGGGACTTAGGGTGATTCTCGTCAAAGAGGAGAAAGAAACTGGCTGCTGACCCATCCCGGTTTCAGTGTTATGGTTTCATTGAGTCATACAAAGATCGATTTAGTTAAAATTTACATACTTTTTAAACAAATATTTAAGAAATGGATAAATACAAATAAATTACACCACAAATGTGTGTGTTTGGTTCACAGAGTTAAGTCATTTGTAGGATAATGGTTGCGAGTGTAGGCTTTGGGGTCAAACTACCTGAGTTTGTATCCTAGCCCCTTACTCGCTGTGCTCTCTCGGACAAGTTTTTTAACCACACTGCTTCATCTGTGAAATGGAGATGACAAATCTTTCTCATAGGATTGCTGTAAGGCTGAAGCAAATTGATGTGTATGAGGTGCTTAGAACAATACCAGGTGTAGCCGGGCGTGGTGGCTCACGCCTGTAATCCTAGCACTCTGGGAGGCCGAGGTGGGCGGATTGTTTGAGCTCAGGAGTTCGAAACCAGCCTGAGCAAAAGCGAGACCCCATCTCTACTAAAAATTAGAAAGAAATTAATTGCACAACTAGAAATATATAGAAAAAATTAGCCGGGCATAGTGGTGCGTGCCTGTAGTCCCAGCTACTCGGGAGGCTGAGGCAGGAGGATCGCTTGAGCCCAGGAATTTGAGGTTGCTGTGAGCTAGGCTGACGCCACGGCACTCTAGCCCAAGCAACACAGTGAGACTCTGTCTCAAAAAAAAAAAAAAACAATACCAGGTGTAGAAGTGTTCAAATTTAGCAGTTCTGGCATTAGCCTCCTCATCATCTTCCTCCTCTAAGGTATTGCCGGAAGTTAAGGTGAAGCTAAAATTCAGCCGAGTTTTGAAGAAAACAAATTTAATAACAGTACTCATAATGTATTTACATCTTGCTTTGCAGTTTACAAAGTGCTACCATGTTGTTTTTTTCTCATTTTGTTCTCATAATAACCCTTAGGGTAGGTGAAGAGGTTCCTGGTGGCACCATTTTATGGATGAGGAAACTGATATGCAGAAAAGGGAAGTAACTGACTCAAAAGTGGGCTGATGGTGGCCCAGTCTCTGCCTGCCCTGTGCCCCCTCTTTTACAAGGCTAATAGTAAATAGTGACTAATAGAGGGTACAGGCATGCCTACTTAAAAGGTTTGCAGTTAAATAAGGCAGCACGTGGCATGGACAGTCTGTAGACAGTCCTTACCCCATTTAGAATCCAGAACAGATAAGGGCCTGTCCTCCACCCCAGAGCCTGCTGTGTCTGAGAACAGAGCAGCTGGCCAGCAGTGAAATCCATTTGTTCAGTGGTATTTTGGTTATGGCTGCAAAAGCCTGAGAGTTTATCCACAAGGCAATTAAGATAAAAAGCAAATAGCAATTTGTCTAATGTTTTTGGCTCTAGTGAACTTAGGTTTATTGAAGCACATCGTTATTTATTCCCTGAGCAAACCTGAGACCCTCCTATGTTCTAGGCACAAGGTAAGACACAGGAGGCACCACCAGCTACAAACGTGGTCCTGACTAGAAGGGATCATCCTCTGCAGACTTTAAGTCAGTAAATCATAGCAACTCCTTTAGTCCTCATCATTGGCATTTGTTCTTCCTCTTTTCTTTTTCATTGCTGTAAATTTCTCCTTATATTTTTATTAATGTTATATTATCTATATCCTTTATTATAACTTACTTCACAACCTTTTCAGAAAGGACTAGATACAGGAAAGGAAGAACAGCTGCAATGGCTTGTTAATCTCTCTTTTTCCTTTGTTTCTTTTTCTCCCCAGTCTTGTCTCAACTGCTGGACAAATCCTCTGACGCCCTAGCCAGTTGCGAACCTGGTCCTGAAAGATGGCAGACATGCCCAACGGCGAGCCCTGTGCCTCTCCGCTGGAGCTGTTCAACAGCATCACTACTCAAGGGGAGCTCGTGCGGTCCCTCAAAGCCGGAAAGGCACCAAAGGTACGTGATTTCACTGGGTCTTCCACACATGCAGCTGCGCCTCCCAGGTCTGTGGGGTTGTGTTACTGTGGAGTAGCCTGTTCCGGGGATCCTGTTCCTTCAGTGACTGAGGTGTTTTGGTTATAAATGTAAATGTATTTCTCTCTCTCTTTTTTTTTTTTGGTTTTTGTTTCTCAAACTTTTTTCTTTAATGTATAATCTGCATACTAGAGCCAGTGTATTTTTCTCTTTATCAACATCATGATGACTGTGGTGTAAAGAATCAGTGGTTCTCAAAGCCTTTGTGAAACATAGCAGTCCTCCAACCCGCCTCTCCCCATTTCCTGCTCCCTGACACAAATATTTTTAATTATTTTAACTGATTCTTTGGGTATTTATGCCCCATATCTCTAACTGTCCTGCTTGTTCAGTTGCTCCTTGTTGATTTTCAAGTTTGAGGCTTTCACATGGAAAAGAAGAATTCACATTTTCACAAACGCTTCCCATCCCTCCAGTCTCCCGGGATATGTTGCAGTCGAAGTTAGGTCAGTATTTACCCAATTTATGACATGTGAACACTTTAGACAGCTGAACCATCAAGTATGGGATGAGTACTTTTCCTTTCCTGTCCAGCTCTTGTTTTCTCTGGAGTTAATACTTGTCTTAATTTCTGTTTGCTTGGCCTTTTCAGATACTAATGATCACGTACCTCCAGACTCTCTCTGAGTTGGTCGAATCTCCTCTCAGCACACTCACACATCAACCAGTCTATCAAGTTCATCTCCTTCCTTCAGGTCGTCTCTCCCAGGAACTTCTGCCTGCTTTCCTCCGGACTGGTGGCCCTTGCCTCCCACACTGCCCATCTTGGGGTCTTCTTTCGTTGTCGACCCAGGGGTTCCCTTCACCTCCACCTGTGGGGTCCTCTGTCTCCTGGTCCTGCCTTGCTTTACTCTATTTTGGCAGAGCAAGTCTTCCAATTGTTTCCGAAAAAATTAGTAGAAAGGAAATATTTTTTGTGAGCTCTTGCTCATCTGAAAGTGTATTTATTTTATCTAAAACTTGATTATAATTAGGCCAGGTATAGAGTTCTAGAATGGAAGTGATTTTCCCTCGGAATTCTGAAGCCACTGCTCCATCATCGCCTCATTTCCAGGATCGCTGCCGAGAAGTCAGATGCCATTCCTTTGTTTTTCTCCCTGGAAATTGGCAGGATCTTCTCTTTGTTCCAGTGTTCTAAGATTTCTTAGGATAGGGGCTCACAGCTCCTTTCAAACTGAAAATTCATGACCTTTAATTCTCAGAATCACATTATTTATTTGATCTCTTCTGTTCCTTCTCTTCTCTCCTTATAGACATTTTTTATTCAGAGACTATTCCTCTGATTTTCTTATTTTATGACTTTTACTTTCCATTTTGTTTTGTTCTTTTGGGGATATTTCCTCAACTTATAACACTCCTGGTGTTTTTCATTTCTGCTATCATGCTTAACCTCCAAGAGCTTGTTTGCTGTCTGAATGTTCCTTATAGCATCCTTCTCTGGTTTCATAGGTACCTATCATCCCTTTATCTCTGATATCTTGCTGGTAGTTTTCCTGATGTTTTCTGCCCCTTTATAATCTCAGTTTTCTCCAAATTAATTTTTTTCCCATCTGATTTTCATATTAGAGGCAATCCTCAAATGTTTCCTGCTTCACATCTGTCCACTTGTGTTTTAGAGGGAGCACCGAGAGCTGTTGGATGTGCCGTGCATTTGGGAGGAGCTTATAAGGTTCCACTTCCTGGAGGCTCCTCCCTTTTGTCAGGGAATCTTTAGTGTCAGGGTCTTTAAATCTTTCCTTTGAAGTGAGGCAGATTCCCCAGCGAAAGCTCCTCCAGTTTGCTGTCCAGAGGGTGGAAGTCTGGCTGCCCTCACTCCACAGCTGAGTGGGAGAGAAGTGCTGGGCTGTGTGATCCTTCTCTAGAGCTCTCTGTTCTGTGTGCTGCCCATGCCCCCGCTCCCATGATGCCTAGTGTCCCCAGTGTAGGCACTTGTAACTCTGTCCTCCTTCAACACGAAACCTCTGAGTCGGGGAGGGATGGGGAAGGAAGGGAATCTGAATAACTGCTTCTTGAACAGACTTTCAACCAGTGCTCCTGTTTTTAACCCCCTTTTACCACCACTCCTGCAAGTACCCAAGGCCACTAATGCCTGAGTCACTGGGGAATTCCATAGCAGTATAAGCGCAGTCACTGCCCACAATGTCTTGGCATTGGTTTTTCTCTCCTGCTCAATGAGGCACCAGCCATCCATCAGCTTTCCAGCTTCTGAAACTTTGTTGCTGCCATCTTCTTCCTGTTTCCTTTGTCCTCGTGGGATTATGCCTTTTTAAAAGCTCTATGCTGTTGTAGTAGGTCTTGGAAGTATCTATGGTTAATCTATATCCTTAACTGAAACATAGGTGCCTCATTTCTTTCTGGGGTGCCTCCGAGACTCCTAAGTTCCCCAGCTTCATCTCCATGACTTCCTTTTCCATCACTGTCAACTCCTGCTGTCTTCTTTTCAAACATCTCTTCCTTGCTTGTCACTAGATGATGTCAGTTATCTCACAAAGTTTGCTTTAACTATTTGGACCCCAAGTAAACCATTATATTTTAAAGGAAATAAATAGTACTGAAAGAAAGTGATATCAGAAAGAAGTTGGTTATTCACAGAGAAAGGTTTACTTACCAGATAGGGCTCAATAAATTGGGCTAAGTTGCTTTAATACAAAAATTTTATATAAATAAAGGACCCAATGGGCTTATTCATTCTATAAGCCCATTTGGGGAAGTTGACAGTGGTATTTTTGTCTGTTTGACATAAAATGTGAATAATATTTAGTAAACGTTTTTAGTTATTAATTCTTAGCAACTACAGTTATGTTCATGATTTATATTTTAGTCAATGAGCAATACTTAATACAGTTTACAATAACTCTTTCATGTGAATTCTTTGACTAATACATTCGGCAGGTGTACACTAGAGAGATGAGAGGTTACATGAGACCAGAGTTAAATGATGAAAAATTCAGAAGTAAATTTGTGTCTGACCCTGAAACGTGTTAGTAACAGAAGCACTTGCTGTTTTAGAAATTAACTTTTAGCAAAACAGCTGGGCCACATTGGGAGCACCCATGCCCTGAGAGGCGCTGTCAGTGCTTTCTCCACCTTCTCCTGCCATTTATCTAGGCCATGGGCCTTCAAGTTCTTTTCTGCTCCAGAATATCTAAAGAATAAGACCCCATCTTTCACTAACAGTAGCTTGGTGAAGCAGGGAGTCTCCTTGGGGGATAGGTCAGAAACTGGAGGCTGTGAGGGGAGATGGTTTAGGCTAAAGAAATGATGCTGGATCTTTGGGGTTAGGAGAGAGAGAAGAGCCCTTTTTTTTTCCTTCTTCTTTTAGTTTAAGTAAACTTTAAAAATCAAGGCCGGGCACTGTGACTCACACATGTAGTTCAGCACTTTGGGAAGCTGAGGCAGGAGAATTGCTTAAGGCCAGGAGTTCGAGACCAGCCTGAGCAGGAGGAAGATCTGTCCCTCAAAAAAAAATGGAAGAGTTAACCAGGCATGGTGGCACACACCTGTAGTCCCAGCTACTCGGGAAGCTAAGGCAGGAGGGTTGCTGGAGCCCTGGAGTTTTAGGTTGTGGTGAGCTATGATGACGCCACTGCACTGTAGCCCGGGCAACAGAGCAAGACCCTGTCTCCAAAAAAAAAAAAAAAAATTGAAATATACCATTCATACAGAGAAATGTGGCAATCTTAGGCAGCTCCCTAAAGTTTCACAGAATGACCGCACCTGTGTAATCAGCTCCCAAATCAAGAGCCAGCATAGCACCATCTGGAAGCTACCCTTACACGCTGACAGCACCCCCCAACTCCCGCCACCATGGACAGCTCTGCCCTTGTCAGGACTTTACATAATCACATAGTATGTAGTCTTCTGTGTCTGGATTTTTTCAGAACATCAGCTTTTAAATTCTATTTCAGTGTCCTGGTCCATGTTAGATTGAGAATGAAAAAGTAGACAGGGAGAGCCTGCTTGTCTATTTCAGTCCCATTGCAGATTGCAGATGGTCCTTGAGCAGGGACATTGGTTAAATGTTTGACTTTCAAAGAACTTCCTAGTTACAAGCAGAATTAGACCAGATAGAGTCAACACAGCTAGTGATTAAAGAATATCTACTGCAGTGTACTTCAAAGCAAGGTAAGTCTTCCTGTAGTTAATTCTATAGAATTTACTTACTAAACATTTACTTTTTGCAAATGCTGAGCCTTGGCACTGCAGAAATTAGATGAGTAAAACATACTTACCTATCTAACCTGGGCAAACATCTTATCTCTTATATGATTGTATCCGTTGGGTTATGGATTGCACAAATATGACTCGTTTTCATGATGAATTCCAGGTAATTTTATTATTTAAAACACAGATTACCCCAGAATAACAGTCCTCTGGCCCGGGTGCTGTACCTGATGGAACAGTTCTCTCTGAATGGAACTTGGTGTTGTGGTTCTCCACTAGGAAGCCCAGTGTATAGCACATTCTGTATTATACACTCTGAGTGGAAATGTTTGTATTTCCCTTGGCAAGCAAATTGGACTGTGTATATTCTTTGTTTGTGATCCAATCTAGCAAAGCCAATTACCAGAGTAGAGATTTAGGGCATAGCATGACTAATCGGTTTAATTAGGCCTGCTCTTTTAAATACCAGGCCTCCAGGGGTGGCCACTGTGGGCTCCTGGAAGAGAAGGTCTTTAATAGATTCCCAAAGTACCCAAGGATACATTTTACATTTTTTTATGTTTATTTTAAAATGATAAATATACCAACACTTCAGATAGCTTGATAAGATTCCTAAAATGTGGTGGTGGTATAACTGTTTTCTAAT